CAGTGTATTAAAAAGAGAAGAATACTTTCCAAGGAGAAATCAGCATCCTCACAAAACAAAGTCCTAAAGGCACAAACCGGTGAACTCATCGGAGCAGATTACAAGAGTAATTGGGAGGATTCCTGTGAGAGATTACAACAGAGGGGATCACGAGCAACCTAAAGTTTCTGAGACAGCATTTAGAGAGCCTCAACCTGAACACTAAGAGAAGAGAGAGGCGGCTCAAGTGGTCCATGATACACCACGGTCCTTCAGATCAGACAGCACGTGCTGTATTTGCCTTATGACTTTTTCCTGCAAGCATATCTGCCAGCTTCCTAAATAACACTGTTCACATGGATACAGATATAGAAAGGGTTATAAATACATGTATTTATATATATTCACACATTTTAGTCCCTGTAGTAAACATCTACTCTTTTCTCTTCAGTGCTGCTGGAGCAGCTGCCAACACTGATGGCACTGGTGGCTGTTCTCAGAAGTAGTTGTGTCTACACCAACCCTCTGGAGTAGGCAAGAGAAAGCAGATTACTACAAAAGGAGAAGCACTTGGCTCAGCTCAGTCCCATAATTACTATATACAGAAAAGAAACCCCTTAGACACAAAGTCCCATCTTCCCTCCAGCTCGCAAAGCAGTTCTGCTCAGCCCAGCTCAACTCATCTTGGAGCCCACGCAGCTCAACCAGGGTAAAGCATCATCCAGACATTTACATTTGTAGGCAATAAACACCAAGCAGCATGCAACGGTTTCATTAAGAGAAGTCAAAACAATCAATGGCTGTAACATTAGAAGTGTGTCCTGATGTGGTAAAGTCATGCTAACAGAGGAGACGTACCTAAGAGCAGGTTACTCCACTCCTGTGACCTAAGCAAACATGCGTCAGTTAGTTCACACAAATGAAATAAAACACATCTGGAGTGCACCGAGACCACCAGGTTCAGAAAAATGAGTTATCTCTTTACAATAAATATCTCCTTGCAATGGGATTTTTCCTATAACATGATATATTTCCTTGGAAATGAGAATAGGGGGATGAGGGGGGAGCTGTGGTGCTTTGCGAAAGGCTTCCCCCACCAGGAAAATGAGAAGCCGCCTGTCCTTGTCTCTAAGTTAACACTAACAGCAGCATTGAGAATCAACACTTCTTATTTAAACACCAATCTTAGTTGCCTAGGAAAGGAGTGGTTATGGATTAGATTCAGCAGATTGCTGTAAAGCTGCTTTTGGACCAGTATCAAGCATCCTTCTTGCGAACATCTTACATTGAAACCTTAAAAGCAAGCCTTCAGCAATGCCTACATGAAGTCTGCAGGGGTTGAAGCAGCAAACGTCTCCTGGCACGTATTTACACTCCCTGTCTGGCCTCTTACAGCAATTGGGAGCACATTGTACAATTGTACAGCCGGAAACTTCCCAATGGACCTGACAATCCATGACCACTCCTGCCAGGTCCCGGATCGCAGCTACACACGACACACAGCGGGATTAACACAATGCTTGTGGGGTGTCCCCTTCCTGGGACAGTGAACTACGGAGAGCAAAGACCAGGACAAAGAAGATGCAGCAGAGGCTATGGCCAAGAAATTCGGGAGCTTTGGTCTTGAGGTTTCAAAACGAGCCTGTTGCCACTCAGAGAAAGAGCAGCCACCAAACAGTCAGTGCTATGACCAGGAGAAAGGACATCATAAAGGGAATACGTGGAGAAGGAAAAACACTAGAGTACAGCTGACACTTTTTGAGTGCTTTCTGCTCTTCAGGGATTGGAATAGAAACCTTTGGAAGAGTTTCTTCACTTGCTTGCCGGGCAAAGGCTGTCTCAGTAGGTATCTCCTGCTTTTTTAGTTTGTCTTCATCCTGTACTAACAGAGGACGTTCCCGTGTCTGCTTTCGTGGTAGAAGATCAAGAGAGACAGAGAGAGATAAACAAAAATGACAGATGGAAAGTGCCCAAAAGGATACTTGGAGGTGTGCAAAGCATTAGGACAGCCTTCTCAAAGTAAAAATGAACTGCCCTGCAGAGCAGAGCTGCTGGTGGCTTGGGTTGCACCAGCCACAGAGCTACAAAGCCTAGTCCTCTCTGCAGAGCTCATGAACATCTGGATCAGGATCATGTATGTTTTGTCACAAACATCTGGATCATGACCGTGATTTACACCTGCCCTCCCAGAAAAGCGGGTGCTTGAAACCAACTGAAGTATTTTGGAATTGAAATGGTTGAGAAAGAACATGTGAGGCATTAGAAATAGAAGTGGTGGAGAACAAAACGTGGTCTCTGACAGCCACCTATTCTACAGGGCCCTTAAAAACCAGCCTTTGTTCAATGTCACTGAGCATCCAGACTGCAGTGCAGGTACAAAAAGCTTTGCCAAAGTTCTAGTGAGAGTATCAAAATATCAATTGGTTTGAAAACCCTACTGGAACAAGTGGAAAATTGTTCAGCTTAGAAATGCTGAGCGTGGAGCTGCAGGATGGCAGTGGGAGCCCCGCAACCTCCTTCCAGTTTCCTCTCTTGCACTTCAGTTTCTGGAGCCTAAAGAATGTAAAAGCCCAGACTGAGTAAATCATCACAGCATCAAGCAAGGGCTCTAGTGCTTCCACTGAAGACAGAAAAGATTGTGAAAAACTTAGTTTTTTAGTAACTCTCCATCCCTTTAGTTTGCCAGACCTGGTCAGACCCAAGTGTACCTAGGAGAGGAAAAACTTGGCTCTAAGCTCTCTGAGCTGAGCTAACCTCCTTTGATCAGGGCGGTATTTTGGGACTGGTTCTTTGCACACCCCTAAGTGATGAGTATTAGGGAGAAAGTAGCTGGGAGACTGGGCAGCAAAAGAAAATATAAAATGCAAGAGTAACATGATCATTAAAACAAAAGAAAAACAGAAAGAAAGACAACATAAAAAGAACAGGGTACAGTTAAACTTTCATCATTGCTTTGCTCGCCGAGTACACGGTTATATCTTTCATGCAGCTTGTTTTTCCAACCAGCCATGCACCAAAAGAAGCAGAATTGAAAGCTGCAAAAGCTGCAGCAGTGCAGAAGTCCTCCCGGTGTGAGTTATGAAACTACTTCATGTAGCCAAAAGAAAGAAAGTGTTATCCAGCAGCTGCTGTTGAGTTTTTGCTTTGGTGCCATCGCAATAGCAAAAGTCTGGTTCAGAAGCACATATCAGAACAGCAGCTTTACCTCAAGCCCACCAACCTGTCTCTCAGAAGATAGGACAGTGACTTTCTTGACCTGGACACACAAAGCGTGTTAAGGTTCAGTTGTTGTGCAATAAAACATCTAGGAACAGCAGAAAAGCAGCCCCTGGCAGAATAACCCTTGGTCACTATCGCAGGGGGAAGATACTGCCATGACCAGGAGAAACAGGATTGCTTTGCATCATCATTTCCCATCCTTAAACATGTGGGGGTGAAGGAAAACCCCTCACCCCAGTAGCTGCCTGGTGAAGATGCATTTCTGGATGCTCACAGCAGAACGTGTCCACCTCCACCTCAGAGCAAGCCCACTTCAGAGAGGATCAGATTAAGAGAGTATTTCCAGAAATGCAAATCCAAGGCTGCCACCAATTCTTGCATTGCTGTGGACCCCAGATGGGGAAGGCCCACACCATCCAGTTATCGTGAAGAACAGCCCCCCAGGACCTCACAGTGTGGTCACCTTGGAAGAAATTCTTCGTAATACCCAAGAAAATCGTTCTTGAAGTGCAGTTGTGGAGCTTGAGAGCCCCTGCTCTGTCCCACCTGCACGTCCCTACACCAAACAGCAGCTCTGCAGCACTCTGCTGCCTGTGTTCCTGCAGAATTGATCCTGATGCTCAACAACCAAAGAGGAAAATCTATCCATGTGCTAAACTGGGTAACTCCAAGTGTAATGATCAACCCCGAGTAGTTCATTTTGGGGGGGAGGTTGTTTTTCTAGCAGGGGGAAAAAAGCCCTGTAATTATCATGGCTTTTCTCTGTGCTTTGAGGAGCCTGTAGTAAACTTGGCCATTAAAACCTCGTACCTCCATCCATTGCAAGATTATTTCTGTGTAAAAAGTATCTCCCTTGCAACGGTTTGAAGATTAAACACCAGCTCATCTGCAGTGCTGTGGGCAAGAAGGGGAAAAGCTAGGCTTAAATCAGGGAAGTCCACAACTGCCACACAGCCAGGATGCAATTTTTCAGTTGTAATGAAAAATCACATTTACTATTTAAGAGACTGATTACCATGGGCACTAACTACAGTTTTACTCACAAGCTGAGCTAGGTAATGCCAATATTAAACAGAGCAGGTGTCTGTCCTCCAAGAAACCAGTTGCACACAGATCTCTGCTGCTCCAACTTGGTTTCTTTGAAAAATTACCTTTTTTAAGGGAATTAGCAGAGAAACTGAGTGTGTGCAGCTACTACAGGCCCTGCTCCTGCAAGGAGGAAGATTTTCACCACGTACAGCCCTGCTGTAGCCACCTGAGGAGTCTTCTGGAAGCCTCCGTAGCAGATCAGCACCTGCAGATCCTAACGCAAGACTAAACCCAATGACATATGGGATTATAACTGGAGAATAGAGTGACTTTGGAAAATGGGATACCATCCCAGTGCTTCTCCACTGGGTTATCTGCCGTATTATGTCTCAAGTAATAATTCTCTTTAGTTTGGGGTTGGGGGGGTGGGGCATGTGTCTGCATTTTGGGGAGATGCATTCCCTGACACCGGGAATAAGCCAGTCCCCACAACGCCCCTGGGACAAGACTAGCATCACAGATGACAACAGTAGGAAAAGCAGGATCAAAACCAGATGAAGGATTCCTATGTTCTTGTCTACTAAAAAATCACATTTTTATGATACTAAGACTAAAGCATCAATTCTCTCAGAGACCATCAGATGTGTTAAAAGTCGGGATTAACCATTAAAACTCGATACAACCAAAACCCAAGGGGAGCTGAGGCTGAACCCTCCACTGCAAAGCTGTCCCCTGGAACACTGCAGAGCACCGAGCGCCGCGGAGGTACTCACTCCATCTGCTCCCGTGGGAATCTGCCCGTTGACGTTGAGGGTTCGGAACGGGGAGTGAGTGGACAAACGTTTGTCCCATTCACTCGGCCGAGGCTCCGGGACGGACTCCATAAAGTTCTTCTTCAACTCACTGATGTTGGCGTGATGCTTCTTTATTTCTTCTTGGGTCTTATCTAGATCCTATTAGTGAGAGGACAGGACAGATGAAGAGACATGGACACGACACCAGCGCTCGCCTAAGCGGCTGCTTAGCAAAGCTGCACTCAGCAGAGGTACTGCCACCTTCCAGCAGTTGTGCTCACACTGCAAACACACAAAGGGAGCATCCTCTCTCCTCTTTCCTCTTGTATGAACTGGGATAAACTCAATCCTGGAGCGGGGGCTCCTCCAGGAGTAGGATGTGCCATCAGTTCAGTTCAAGCTACACCAAACCCGATGGCAGTTAAGGTGTAACCTTGTGGGTTTTCCCCATATGGGATTGGTTTTAAGTCTTAAGACTATGTTTGGGTTATTTAATTTAATGCCTTTAAATTGGGTGGATTTGCTTCCTCTTGCCTCTGCTAGCCTGAATATTCACAGGTATAAATACAACTAAAGGAAATGTTTTCCCAATTTTCTTTATTCCCTTCATACCTATTTCTCTTCCATCCTACCAGGAATTACCTTTGGACCCAGAATACCCTCACTATCTTTCCACTTCCCTCTCATCTCATCCCTCCAGCAGCTACCACAGGAGGTTTTAGACTTCTGACATGAAGATGAGATGACGGCCCTTTACAAATCAATCTGAGAATCTACTTTCTGCTGCATCAGTTAAGAAACTCCTCCTAAAATTCTTCACCTGGAAAAAGCCAGTTTTCTGCTCTGTGATGCCAGTTTACAGTATAAATGCACAGACTTTAAGGCAAGTCAGCTCTCTTCCACTTGTTTAAAAACAGCTTTTTCCTTGCAAGCAAACCAGAGGTTGTTGAAAGCGAAGCTTTCGCAGAAAATAGGCAGAAGCCAAACAACAACTTTTCTGGACAGTGCTGAAAAGCAGCTGAGAAAGGGAGAAATTAAGGTCAGTAAAAGCATCACTGGGGAATTTCACTACTTTTCTGCTTTTAGTTGTTACTCAGCCCATGGAGTTTAGAAGATGGGAGAGTAAATGCATCCCTCAAGGAGGGTTTCCCCACCAAATACCTGCAGCTTGCCCAGGACTCATTGCCCTCCCTCCTCAGGGCTATGGCCCCAACTGCCACATTGACATTTGCTCTTTTTGGCATAGTTCTGGGGGATAAAAACCCAGTCTGGGCACCTGGCTCAAAGCACAGGGCAAGTGCCTGCTGGTTAGCAAAAATGAAAAAGAAAAGGCAGAAATAACGCTGCTGAGGACTCCAGGGTAAAGCCCTGCCCAGGTCCAGGAGCCCTACAGCCAACCCTGCTTTAGAGAAGGACCACTTTGGCCATCCACCACTGCACAAGAGGTGGTCCTGGGAGGGTTTGCAGAGAAGCTGAAGCCACGAGGAGCTATGTGGAGCCACAATGGGTCTTGAAGGCATCTTGAGGAACAAGCTCGGGAAGTGTTACCGCTTTTCCTCCCATTCTGTAAGAACATAGGCTATGGAGCATGGAGCTTTCAATAAAAACAAGTGGCAGCTTTGGGAGGATAATGTCTGCTGGAAAAACATCTCATCTGCCCAATGCAGGGAGTGAAAAGAACCCAAGGAATAAAGGTGAGAGCTGCTGCGGTCAACCCTTGTCTAGGGAGGGCTGGAGCATCTGCAACAGAACCCATGGGAAGGGCAGCGGAGAGGGAATGGGCTGGATGCCAGCACCAAGTATTGCAGTGACAGGAAAAAAGGGCTTGGAAGCAACAAAAAAGCTCTGATTGGGGCTGGGAAGAGGGAGCTGTCTGAGTTGGGTGGAAGAAAGTGACAGGCACAGTATTGACAGCGATCCAGAGCCCATCGTGCTGCAGCCTCTTCACTCGTGGCCAAAAGTTCTTTGGTTGCAGCAGTCAAAAAAGAAAAGGGAGAAAAATATAAAGAAAAAAGAAAAATCCCACCCAAAAGCTGCAAAACTTTCCAAATCGGGGTTAGGAGAAGGCATTAGTACAATTCTCTTTCAAGAGACACCAACGGGGAAACCCTACTAGCTGCTGGTGCTACAAGTTGGAGTAGAAACAGGTAACACGGGAACAGAGTATCAGAAGCCAGAAAACATCTCCCATAACACGGTGTATTAAAGAAAAGAAAACATATGATTGGCCTGGTCTGTTCTGAGACCGTGCTTGGGTGAAAGCAAACATGAAGGGCTCCCAATGAGAAGGGAAGAGCTGTCTGTGGAGGGATAGAACAGGGTCTCGCCTGCTCACAAGGTACTCACAGGTACACTGAGTCCCTCTGTCAGCTCCAAGGGGATGTGATGCTGATGCAGGATAGGGCCCAAAGGAGTGTTGAGATGCCACAAGGCAAGGGAGTGCTGGGAGAAGGGTTGCAATGCCAGCAGCAATGTCCAAAGGGAGGACTCGCTCCGGTCTGAAGCAACACGAACATCACAGTGGCCTGAACACCACAGAGGTGCCAATTTCACCTCCAGCTTATCCCGAGTTTCGTATTTTCACAGATTGCCTTTTCCCCCTGGAAAATGATTTATTCCAAACAAGGAGAAACTTGTCCATGAGCCACCCACCCCAGGATTGATGTCACTGTGAGCACCCAGCGGGTCCAAGAGCAGACCTGAGCGCGCAGCTCTGCCAATCATATATTTTGGGTAAGTATGAGAGAATGAAAGTCAGAAGAGGTAGAAGGCAGAATGCCTGCACACCGGCAGGTTTGCTGTCACCATGCAAAAGCATCTTTCAAAACAACCCCAAAAGGTCTTTCATGCAAGGGCATGCAAAAAGAAAGGCAGCAGCAGAAGAGGAAGAAACAGTTCAGCGCAGATGCAGGTCTAGGCAAACGCAACTGAAAAAAGCTTCAAGTTCATACAAACCTCCAACATTAAATTGCTATGCCTGATATAAATGTTTTCACCATCTAGCCTCTTTGATCTCTTCTGTGAAAATGAAAGAAAAGGGGGAAACAAAACAAACAAACAAAAAGCACAACAAATTAAAACGTTGTTCTGGCGGGATCGCTAAATCGGCAACTTAAAACGTGAACTGAAGGTGGGGAGCGCAGCGCTGAGCGTGGGGGCACCTCCACCAGCAATGGGGGGGCCTGCTCATGGACAATGGGGACATGGAATGAGTCTGTTAAAGAGACAGCTCCCAGGGGTCTCTTGGCTTTCGCCTTCATTTGTAGTGCTCACCACAAAGGGACAGGTCACAGGTTTGCTGGGGGAGCCTCACGCGGAGTCACAGCTTCGCATCCCTCAGAGCACTGAATGCCCACCCCGGTGTACCAGGAGGCTGTACTACTTGGTGTAACCTTCACATGGCCTCGATGTGTAAAGCAACTACGCCTTAACCACCTTTCCCATCTTGGGTATGTCCCCTATTACTTAATCAATATAAAAAAGAGCATTACACCTTTTTATTGCAGTCCCTGCAATGCACACTTACAGTTTCTTTGGTTTCTACCTGAATTTGTTACAGAGAAGGTAAACTTTATCAATTAAACCAAGAGTGCTTCTCTCAAACGTTCAACATGCATCATTTTACCAATCAGACTGTCAATGGGACAAAAAGCTATTGATTTTAAAATCAAATATTTGATTCAAGGCCAGGTTGGACACAGGGGCTTGGAGCAACCTGCTCTAGTGGAAGGTGTCCCTGCCCGGGGCAGGGGTTGGAGCTGGATGAGCTTTAAGGTCCCTTCCAACCCAGACCATTCCATGATTCCAGGACAGTTGCAGTTTAATAAAACAACTAAACCCCAACCCAAAGCTCATGAAGAAAGTGGAGCACTGTCTTTTTAAACAGGTTACGGATGCATGAATGAGATGGCAAATTTGTTTGGTGAGAGGGTAGAACTGCTAACCTTCCTCATTCTTATCAGCTCTTCCTCTTTCTCTGCAGGCTGCTGCTGGTGGGCAGTGATAAAGAAGGAAAAAAAAAAAAGAGTTGTTGGTTCATTTGACTCTGTTGAACCTCACTGTTTAACCTTAAAAAACATACATGAGCAACCTAACTGAGTTCTTAGCACAAACCTGGGGCTGGTCACCATTCGTGGTGGGTACTGTGACCTCAATGTGTGTTTTCCTCACCTACATTTGAGAAATAAATTGGTAAAAACATTCCTTGTTAGTTGACTTGTTTCAAGAGCCCCTTTAGTTTCAAACCACAGCTGCATGAAGTTGGTTTTGAAACTGGTGAACATGCAAAAACCACCATGCAGCTCTCCGGAAAGAGTTAATGACACCACAGCTCTGTTAGTTACCAGCACATCTACAGTAATTCCTATTTGCATTGGAAACCAGTGCTTCCCAAGAAGGGCTTCCCACTTGCATGACAGCTTTGCCAGGCAATGTTTTCCAATTTCATTTGCAGCTGGATCTCCCAGTGGAATCCACACCAAAAGCAACATGCTCAAGTCAACACAGAGCTTCTCAGAACCAGAGCATTATTTGTGACGCACAGGTTATTATGTTCACAGAGTCAGTCAGAAAAGACCATGGACAAAATCAAGCCTCATGTCACAAATTCAGCTCTTTATGGGCCGTAAGGAAAGAGCCAAATGTCTTAACACTTTAAGGGGAGTGTTTTAGGGAAGCTGGATTGCCAAATACTCTGCAAGAAAAGCAGAGTAACATTGGTGGGTGTCAAAAGTGATGCAGCTACTTTGAGAAACAGGGTAAATTTGGCACGTTCAAATCCACAATTTCCTCCCACATCTCCACTTCAAGAAAAAATAAACTCAGTGTTTTAAGTATTTAGGGGGAAAACCCTGTAATAAGTGAGGTGGGATGAATGAAATGAAATATACTTGCTCTGTTTCATACAGGGAGGTGAGCAGCAGCGTAGGAATAGCACTGCAGGACGTGCCACGAGGCACACTTGCAGTGCCAGCCTGGAGATCCCTTCAGCATTTCCATTGAAGAATCACTGGTCACACAGGCCATGCCATTTTTGGAGGCAACTGTCCTTTCTACACCTCCATCTCCTTAATTAATAGTGATTAATCACCTTAATTAACAGTGATTCCCCTTGGAGTATGTGAAACAAGACCCACTGTGGGACAGGTTATAGCAAACTGTGGCTCCAGTAGTGCTGAGAATAGCTAAATATGGGAATATTGTATCTCAAGGTGTCCACCTCTGCTGCAACACTGGAAGGCTTCAGTCAATCAAATTAGTGGAATATCAAGGATACTGTAATAGAACAATTTTGCATATTCTTTTGACTTTGGAGAAGAACATGCATGGACCAACCCCAGCAGAGGACTCAGACAGTTGTAGAAAGATCAAACAGTGTTTAAATAAATGTACTTTAAACAATAAACCCCCCAATGCCTCAAGAGTGCCATTCACAAGGGAAGTTCTAGTTCAGTTTGCAGGAGAGTATTAACAGCTCTCCCAGAGAAAGCCTATCAATGTGAAAAACATTTGCACTCAGACACTGGGCTGCGACCAGATCCGTATCAGCCACTTCACTGGAATTGCCTCCTGCTGTCATACCAGGAATCAGAGAGAGCCTGGCGACGGGTGAGCCCTAAACTCAAGCCCCAGGTACTTGCATGCAATTCTTGCCCGCTTTTTTTAAAGCAAGTTGCATTTAGTTTGCCTGCAACCACCAAAACCCAGCTTCCCCGGACCTCCTCCTTCCTGGCACCCTTAGGGTGAAGGCTGGGATTTCCCTGGGATCCAGATCCCTGTCCCTCATTCCCACCCAATGCCTGGGTGAGGGATAAACCCCTCACCAGTGGGGAGGGGAAGGTGGGCAGAGCTGCTGCTCTGGGGTGGTTTCTAGAGCCAAGGCTCCATCCCAGCACAAGTGCAGCCTCCTCTAAGTAGACTCTGGTGTGACCTACCTTTGATGCATCAGCTGGCTCTGGCTTGGCTTTCTCTGCTGGGATTTCCTCACGTCTCACATCAGGTTTTGCTGTTTCTCTCTCTACTTTATAGGCAGCAGTCACGTCCTTCACGTCGGGCTTCGCTGGGGCTGGTTCTGCAGCGTGGCTCTGAGCAATGGCTGGGGCAGAGGTGGGACGGGGACTCCTCTCAGGGGTTATCACAGCTGCTGCTGAGGATGTGGAGAGACAGACAAGGATGAAGTTCAGAACAGGAAACAATTCCAACGTGTAGGCAAAGTCTTTCCAAATTACAGTGCTGATGTTGAAAAGGAAAGGGAGAAGGAAAAAGGAAAAAGAAATCAAGATGTGGAGCAAAGCAGCTTGTGCATTTAGTATGGGAAAAGTTGAGGTTATTTTCCTGATGGTTTAAATCAAATCAAATCCCACAGCAGATGGTTTCCAAAAAGCAAGCTTGCACTCTGCAGAGAAGCCACACCAGAAAGGTGAATCTATTTGTGACGCTATGCCATTGGTTTCTGGGTCCTTCACACACCACTGACACAGAAATCCACTCCAGTGCAACCATTACAATGGAACCACTTTGAGCTGTGGTGAGTTCTTGACTCACTGGCATCTCCTCAGCCAGGAAGGGATGGTTTCTGGAAGGGCAACACAGGCTTTCCCCATCTTCCCAATCTTTTCAGCAATTCAAAGGAAAAAAACTATCAAGGATTGCTCTATAAAACTTCACAGCAACTTCCAGGTGGGTTTCAAAGCAGGCTGGGGCTGCGTGTCTGAGATGGATATCTCCTGCTGCAGCCCAGAGCAACACTGCCAGAAGATACCCATCCTCTCCAGATCAGTGACAGTGCAGAAATGAAGAGCATGCTGCCAAAACTCATCTTCCCAGAGGATGAGAGTCTTCAATACAAGCACTTGGTACACACAAAATCAACTGCCTTCTCCTTTCCTTCCATTCCTGATTTCCCAGTCAGTTCCCAACCCCTGAAAAGTCCGACACCTCCAAAATATTCAAGCCTGTGTGACAAAGCAAGCCCCAACTACTTCACTGTGCAATAAACCTACTGCATGCAATAAACCTATTTAGTTCTCCTGATGTTGGTTTTCATGGCCATTCCACTAAAAATACACCTTAGTCACCTGAATTCACTTCATAGAATCACAGAGTGGTTTGGGTTGGGGAAAAAAACCCCAAACCACTGCTGCCATCTCCATTCTCTCCCCTGCTCCTCAGCACAGCAGTTCATTTCTGTGAGCCAGACATGAGTTATCCTTTCAGAAGGACAACTGGTGCTGTGTCCTGGTGGATTTATGCCATGGAAGCGGTGACAGCTGCTGGGGATGTTGTATGGAGGGTTGGGGAGGTGGCAGGGACAGTGGGGACAATGAGGATGCTGGGTGTGCAAAGCCATCACGGTGGTACCTGACTCCTTTGGGACCAGCTCTAGTTCTCTCATCACCAGTATTTTTTCTTCCTCCTCCTCTTCAATTGGGCTTATCTCAACATTGCCAAGAGCACGTTTGGCTAAAAGAGTTACGGATGTGTTAAAAAGCCACCTCAAGGATGAAGCAGCAAAGGCAATGCTGCCACACAGCCACCTCTCCTGCTTCTCTCACAGTGCTCAGAAGCATCAAGACACACAGGAAAGACACCCTCAGGTACCAAGCTTTTCCTCTGCCATCCCATGATGAGTTCTGTGCTGTCCAGAACTGTGTTACTATAGTCACATTTTCATGATTAACCACCTTTGGCTATTTCGACACACAACAATTTAAACAAACAGCTCCAACACACGAGATATAAAGTGTCAACCATCGTCATCCTGGCCAAGAAAATGGTCCCTACTGGGAACAAAAGTGTCAAGAAGAGGAAAAAAAGCTGGAGATGAATGCAAGGCAGGGGCAGCTGCAGTAGGAGAAGCCTGGATGTGCTCAGGAATGACACTGGCTGACACTGCTGCAGCCCATTCCATGGAATATCCTCGAGGCAAAGCACAGGGGCTGGTTTTGTGGTTTTCATAATCAAATGAAGAGGTGAAGTTCCCAGTTAGTCCCTCCATTGCTTCAGTCTCCTCTTCCTGCAATGACTAATCAACTCTGTGTTTAATTATGATGAGGGTGGATCTCTCTGCAGCAGTAAAGCTGCTCTGAAACCCCACCCAGAGCAGGAAAGAAGCACGGTCCCTAGCAAAGAAATAAAGCAGAGTGTAGGTGACCTTCAGCATCCTGGAGCACACAACCGCATGTTCAGGCCCTGCACGTTTCTATAGCTCAGAGGAATGAACCTTCCCAGAAGGGACAGTAAGAGAGGAATGTTAAGAGGCCACTGCACACTCAACTCAGCACACAGGCACACAGCCAAGCCACGGCACAGCACCGCAGGCACACCCCGACAAAGCAGCACTCATGTATTACAGCACACTTGCAAAGCTGGGTGTGATTTTAAAGGCCATGAACACCACCACAAACAAGGTAACCTCCATCCTACAGCACTGCATCACATCAACCCAGCAGGTCACAGCACGGGCAGCACCCTGATGCCGAATGCCACTGCGGCTGTACCTGACCACGTCCGCAACTGCTCCGGTGACTTTGGCTTGGCCACAGGAACCTTAACCACCTCTACCTTGTCCTCCTTCTCCTCCTCCTCTGCAATGGGTTTCATTTGGAAAGTTTCAAGCGCATGTTTGGCTAGAAAGAGGTTTGCATGTGTTAACGGAGAGGTTGGAGAACTGCACAGACATACAACAGGCAGCACCAGCAGTGGAAAGAGCAAGAGGAGATCCCACTCCAAGGCAGCGGCAGAGAACAGCAAGGAGGTTTCTTAACCAGCAGCTTACTAGTTATTTTCCACCACACAATTGTGTATTAATCTTTCTAGTGCTGCCAGACACAGGCCCAAGATCTTGGATGAGAGGGGAAAAGAACACCACTTTGTTGTAAGCTTTGCAGGCTTCTTGCCCAGGCAGGGATATGTGGGGACACGTGATGGCTCTTGAGTCTTGTGCTAGGATGGGCTCTGCCTGCAGAGTGCTGCAGGGGGAGATGCAGGTGCTGGTTGGTAATATAGAATCATAAAATCCCAGCCTGGTTTGGGTTGAAGGGAGCTTAAAGCTCATCCAGTTCCAACCTCTCCCACGGGCAGGGACACCTCCCACTAGAGCAGGTTGCTCCAAGCCCCTGTGTACAACCTGGCCTTGAACATTGCCAGGGATGGGGCAGCCACAGCTTCTCTGAGCACCCTGTGCCAGCGCCTCAGCACCCTCA